TCCCAATTCCCCCCAAACCCCCCCCCCCACACACACGCCGTGTCTCTGGGCCTTGTTTTCTGCTGTTTTATTAATGCAGGATTGAGCATAATGAGTGTGTGTGTGTGTGTCTGTAATCCTCATCTGCAGCTTCAATGAATGTGTGTAAATAAGAGCGTCAGTCACACACACACACACACACACACACACACACGAGTGTCTCTGGGCCTTGTTTTCTGCTGTTTTATTAATGCAGGATTGAGCATAATGTGTGTGTGTGTGTGTGTGTGTGTGTGTGTGTGTCTGTAATCCTCATCTGCAGCTTCAATGAATGTGTGTAAATAAGAGCGTCAGTCACACACACACACACACACACACACACACGAGTGTCTGTCAGAGAATATATTACTCAGAGTGTGTTCTGTTTCTCCTCTTTGGAGTGTGTGTTGCTGGTTGTTGTTCTGTAAGTGTGTCCTGATGTGTGTATGTGTGTGTGTGTATGTGTGTGTGTGTGTGTGTTGATTAATGATGTTTTATCTGGAGCTCAGTGCAGATGTGTGTGAGAATGGACCAATCACTGCGCAGAACACACTAATAAACTGTCTTCACTGCTGCTGCTGTCTCGGTCTCCTCTGTATGAGTGTGTTAATGACAGACTCAGACATCAGTGTATTCAGTACTGCTGTATAGTGTGTAGGAGCAGAGTGTGTGTGAAGGGTTTGCTGATCTTACACACTGACAGTAAGAACAGGCTGAGGAGAGAGACTGGGAGAACACAGGGACATTACACCAATGAGTTTAAGATGGAGCCAAACAAAGCATCAAGGGATGAGCACTACAGAGTGTGCACTACAACAACTTCCTGTAGAGAAGCAGTCAGACTGCCCCAGTGTCCATGAGAGGGCGCTGTGTCCCTGCTGTTCTGCATCCTCTATAGCAGGAGCTCCCAAACTTTTCAGCCCGCGACCCCCAAAATGACGATGCCAGCCCCAATATCCTCTGAGGTTGTTCTGGATGCAGCGGTGTAAATGCTGTTGTGTTGCTGTCTCCAGGTGATGAACTCTTAAATGGAGGCAGGTCAAAAGTAAATAAACAGTAAAGGAAATCAAAATGAGCGCTGTAATTGACCGGGCGGTTGTGTAAAGGCAAAGCTATAAAAATGTTTTGCAAATATACATAATTTTAAAAAAATATATAAATATTTTAGGGTTTTTTTTTTGCACTTTTTTGTTTGTAAATTGTATTTTTATTTCCAAACAATTAATTTTCACTGTAATTTTAGGAGATTTGCATTTATTTTCTGCTCACTCTATTTTTTGTTTGCAAAACTATTTTATTTTGCAAGTAAATATGACCCTACACTGACTCCACACACCCCTGCTGGACACATCAGGAACTGCAGCACTCACTTACTCGGCCTCCTCAGACATATGTAGAGCAAAATTCTCTCTCTCTCACACACACACACACACCAGCTGTGAGAGAGCACACTGGTGTCTCCACTGTACTGACTATATTCTCTCTCCAAACCCTCACACTGATCAGCCCTTTTCCTCACAGAGACCAGAAACATGTCCTCATGCGCTCAAAATATACTGCTATTGCTATACTTGTGGGGAGTAGCAGGAGCTCCACATGAGCAGCTGCAGAGGGGTTATTTACAGACCCAGAGGAATGCTGTGTGTGTGTGTGTGTGTGTGTGTGTGTGTGTGTGTGTGTGTGTGTGTGTGTGTGTGTGTGTGTGTGTGTGTGTGTGTGTGTGTGTGTGTGTGTGTGTGTCTATCCTGAATTTAGCAGTAAGAGGCGGAGCGTCTCTCTCTGTATGTCTCCATCCGCTGGTCCAGTGTCAGTCTTTGGGTCTCCATGATGGAAGCAGAAGCAGAAGCTCCAGAGCTGGACGTCGACGGCCTCCAGCAGAACCAGACCGCAGGAGAACCCGAGGTTCCCAAACGCAGCGATGTCAAAGTCTACAAGGAGTTCTGCGACTTCTACGTGCGCTAGTGAGTCTCTTATTTCTCTTCAGTGTTCATCAGCGCGGCGTGAGCTCAGTTCTCCCGGAGACTCAGTGAAGCTGCACGTTCTCCATGGTTCAGGCCACTGGTGGAGCTTCAGCAGTGAACAGGAGTCCATGTTCTGCTCAGACATGAAGGAACACTTGAACAGCGCACTGTAACACACTGTAACACACACACACTGTAACATACTGTAACACACTGTAACACACACACACTGTAACTCACACACACACTGTAACACACTGTAACACACACTAACTCAGCGCTGCTGTGTGTTTCAGCAGTATATTGAGCTCGTGTGTAGAGCTGCGGTGCGGTGCTCTCTCTCTCTCTCTCTCTCTCTCTCTCTCTGTGTCTCCTTCAGCTGGATGTAGAGCCTCTTGACCTCCACTCAGTCTACAGGAGTCGGCAGCAGACGTCACTCATTCATCTCTGACTCCAGACTTCAGTCTTTTCGCTCTGCTTCAGTAGTCTTGCTCAGATCTGCTGCTCAGTCGCTGGTTCAGAGAGGTGTGTGTGCTGTCCTGAACAGAAACAGCGGCGCTCTGAGGTCAGACACACACCACATCACGTCTGCAGCTCTATTATTAACATGAGAGGAGGTGCAAACGCTCATCTGCCTCCAGCGTCTTCTGTTCTACAGTCATTAGCTGTTCATAACGCAGCACAGAGGTCTTAGAAAGACAGCGAGATGATCCTCATCCTGCACCTGCAGCCGCTAAGAGTCACTCCTGCACTGTAGAGTCGGGTGGACACAACCTCACACCGGCCCTTTCCCAACAGCAGGACCCAGTCCAGAACTGAGGAGTCTCTCTCAGGTGGAGGAGCACGAGCTGACCTCAAGACTGAACCCTGCTGTCCATCTGTGGATCACACAAGACCAGCTTTAAACAGCAAAGGGAACACCTGTGTGTGTGTGTGTGTGTGTAGTGGCTCTCAGACTGGGCTGGTTATAGACCCGTGTTGTAGACCTGTAGACAGGTGGGTTCCCCCAAACCCAGACTTCCCATCAAGAAGAGGGGGTCAACTGTGTTCAGAGACCAGTTGATCAAACCCATGATTGCTTACTGTTTGGACAGCAGCAGGAGTCAGGTGTCAGCCAGGAGAGACACGATGGGAGGGAAACACCCAACACATTCACCCAGAGCCACAGAAAGAGGAGCTGAGGGCATGTCCATCTAATCCCTCGCTCACTTGATGAACACACTTCACCATGGCATTGGGGATTCCCCTGAGGGAACAAGGGAGGGAAAGTTAACTAGTGAGGGTCTTAAAGTGGACTGGAACACAGCCTGGGTATAACTGGAGCAGGCAGGGTGATGAGGGAGTCTGGTGCCCCCTGCTGTAGAGGAGGAACCAGCTCCTGCTCAATGGTGCAAGCAGGAGAACATCACCAGTGTGTGTGTGTGTGTGTGTGTGTGTGTCCTCAGCAACATGACGAACGCGCTGGCGAACGCAGTGTGTGAGCGCTGTAAGAGCAGCTTCAGCCCCACAGAGAAGATGGTGAACAGTAATGGAGAGCTGTACCACGAGCAGTGCTTCACCTGCGCACAGTGCTTCCAGCAGCTCATCCAGGGGCTGTTCTACGAGGTAACACACACACACACGCACACGCGCACACACACGCACACACACACACACACACACACAGATTACTCTGTTGTCCTGATGTATGTGCGTCTTGTGTTCCCGCTGGTGTTGTGCAGTTTGAGGGCAGGAAATACTGTGAGCACGACTTCCAGATGCTGTTCGCCCCCTGCTGCCATCAGTGTGGTGAGTAGAGCAGACGATGATGAAGGAGGAGCAGAGGAGGAGGATGATGAACCAGTGAATGGTGTGTGTGCAGGTGAGTTTGTGGTGGGTCGGGTCATCAAGGCTATGAACAGCAGCTGGCACCCGGACTGCTTCTGCTGCGAGGTGTGTGAGGCGGTGCTGGCTGATGTGGGCTTCGTGAAGAGCGGCGGCCGGTGAGTGTGTGTGTGTGTGTGTGTGTGTGAGTGCGTGTGTGCGCTGCAGTCTCCGCTGACCCCTCTCTCCTCCACAGACCCCTGTGCCGCTCCTGCCACAGCCGTCAGAAGGCTCTCTCTCTGGGCAAACACGTCTGCCAGAAGTGCCTGTGTGTGGTGGAGGAGCCGCTGATGTACCGGAGCGACCCGTACCACCCCGACCACTTCAACTGCAGCCACTGCGGGTCTGTGTGTGTGTGTGTGTATTGGTGTATCGTGCTGCTGATCTCCTGTGTGTGTGTGTGTGTGTGTGTGTGTGTATTGGTGTATCGTGCTGCTGATCTCCTGTGTGTGTGTGTGTGTGTGTGTGTGTATTGGTGTATCGTGCTGCTGATCTCCTGTGTGTGTGTGTGTGTGTGTGTGTGTATTGGTGTATCGTGCTGCTGATCTCCTGTGTGTGTGTGTGTGTGCTCCTCCAGGAAGGAGCTGACAGCAGATGCGCGTGAGCTGAAGGGGGAGCTCTACTGTCTGCCCTGTCATGATAAGCTGGGCGTCCCCATCTGTGGAGCCTGCAGGAGACCAGTGGAGGGACGAGTGGTCAACGCCATGGGGAAACAGTGGCACGTGGAGGTACACACACACACACACACGCACACGCACGCACACACAGGACTGACTGACCCTTTATTCATCATTTAAGTGTGTGAAGCTGCTCTCTTTGTGTTTATGCATGCGTGTGTGTGTGTGTGTGTCTCTGTGTGTGTTTGCAGCACTTTGTGTGTGTAAAGTGTGAGAAGCCGTTCCTCGGCCATCGGCATTACGAGCGTAAGGGACTGGCGTACTGCGAGACTCACTATAACCAGGTATCAGAGCTCAGCTCATAACACACACACACACACACACACACACACACACACACACATTATAACACTGCAGTGACGGTGTGTGTGTGTGTTTCTGGTTCTCCACAGCTCTTCGGGGACGTCTGCTTTCAGTGTAACCGTGTGATCGAGGGTGACGGTGAGTTGCATTTACACTGAGTGTGTGTGTGTGTGTGTACCTGCTGACACTCAGACGCGTGCGTGTGTGTGTGTGTGTGTGTGTGTTTCAGTGGTGTCCGCGCTCAACAAGGCCTGGTGTGTCCGCTGCTTCAGCTGCTCCACCTGCACCTCCAGGCTCACACTCAAGTGCGTATCTGCCCTCACTAGTGCACTACACAGAGGAAACTACAGCTGCATCTGAAAGCACACACTTCTACACTATACAGTGGGACCGCCGAGCCTTGTGGTAGCCCACAGTGTTCTGTTGATCTGTGTGACGCCTCCTCATTAACACACACACACTGATAACGCTCGGATCAGACCTGAACCAGGCCAGAGCAGTTCCTGCCACACCAGCATCATCTCAAAGCCTGTCAAGCAGAATATGATGATGGACCGAGTCAAACGCAGCACTGAGGTCCAGTAACACTGACGGAAACGCAGGGCAGTGTAGTGTAGGGATGAGCTTATCATGCAGGCCCGTCCACTGCGCTGCTGCTTCTAGTGTCTCTGATAGAAACGGCAGGTGGGAAACGGGTCTATGATCGCCTGATTCTGTGATCAAGAGGTTTTTCACTCATACATATTGCTTCAGCTTAGTTCCTTCATTCATCAGGGGTCGCCACAGTGGAATGAACCACCAACTATTCCAGCATATGTTTTACATGGCCACAATCCATCACTGGGAAACACCAATATACACTCATTCACACACACACACACACACACACACACACACACACATAACCCTAACACATTCTCTCTCACACACACACACTCATACACTACGGCCAGTGTAGTTGATCAGTTCCCCTATAGTGCATGTGTTTGGACTGTGGAGGAAACCGGAGCACCCGGAGGAAACCCACACCAACACGGGGAGAACATGCAAACTCCACACAGAAACACCAACTGACCCAGCCGAGACTCAAACCAGTGACCTTCTTGCTGTGAGGTCAGAGTGCTGTGCACTGAGCCGCCGTGCCGCTGCTGCTGTGTTTTTAATAAGACGCTTAATGACAGCTGGTTTAACAGTTTTCAGGATGGGTCCTAAATTCAAGGATGAGTTGAAAACGTCAGGAACAGGTTCAGAAACGTGTGAGAACTGTTTTAATGATGTGGTGGGTTCAGGTTGTTGATTTGGAGGAGTTGACCAGTGTGGACAGTTCCTCCTCTCCTACTGCTGTGATCGGGACGCTGCAGGAGACTGATGGAGCTTACTCCTCTCTGATATCATCAGTCCTGCATGTGGACGATCATGTAGTCATCACTGCTGTGTTGAGCAACGCATGCTGATGCTTCATCTTCAGGCAGACTGGCCTCTGTGTTGAACAGGAGTGTACTCTCTTTAAAGACCAGACCTGTACTGTTGATTTCTCCATTGCCCGGCTGCTGTCTGTAAGGCGCGTGTGTGCTCATGTGTCATGTAATGGAGCAGCTGTGTCTAACGCTCTATTAAGGACAGAGTGGAGAGCTTCAGTTGCAGCGTCGAGCTCTTCTGGACTGCTGTGGAGATGAGGAAGATCAGGCAGATTACTGATGAAGTGATCTCCAGTGCTAGCGCTGATCCCTCTGCCATATTCATGAACAGAAGAGGATTCTGTAGAGCTGTCAGTGCTCAATAAACCAGATTAAACCGTGATCTGTTGACATCGCTCTGCTGCACAACATACCATGTGCTGATATGAGGTGTAGACATGCGGTTTCACTCCATCACAGCTGAGTGTGTGTAGGAAGGCCAGACTTAAAGTATCTTCTTCATCATCTACATGAATATTAACATCACCAACAACCAAACTAGATTTCAGATGAGAGATCAGCTGATTCTCTTGTAGTCGGTGTGCTGTCCTGCAGGCCTGAATACAGCTGCCAGTCCACATGTAGATGGAGATGTGTGGTGTACACAGCAGCAGTGGTGGTGGTGTTGACTACATCAGTGTAGAGCGAGTGTGTCTGAAGCAGATCACTGACGGACACTATAGACGTCACCATAACATGAAGCAACACCTCCACCTTTACATGTAGAGTCTTAGCGGGATATCTCCCTCATGAGTGCTCTGTGTGTGTGTGTGTGTGTGTGTGTGTGTGTGTGTTTTAGGGATAAGTTTGTGGAGATCGACCTGAAACCCGTCTGTAAACACTGCTATGAGCGAATGCCGGACGAGCTGAAGAGACGCCTGAGCCGAGAGCAAGAGTCCAGAGACAAGAGGAAGAGGAGACCCATGTGCCTGTGAGGACAAGGTCAGTACACGTACACACACACACACACACACACCTGATCAGCACTGAAACTAAATAATGCTGAAACTGAATAATAATTCTGAATATTGATCTGCTCTGTGTGTGTGTGTGTGTGTGTGTGTGTGTGTGTGTGTGTGTGTGTGTGTTTCGTTCACTGTGTTTGTTTGCAGGAAACGCCGGCTGAATAATCCAGCAGTTGACTGTGCTGATGACTGAAGCCCAGCGATGAACATCTACTGTGTGTGTGTGTGTGTGTTACTGTAATCTTCTTGATCCAGCACAGAATAAATCAGTGTAAAGCAGCAGTGGTCCAGTCTTCTGTCACCCGTGCGCTGTGCTGGTTTACCAGCTGAGCTCCTCCAGAGTGTGTGTGTGTCAGAAACGAATGTGCTCCACACACACACGACCCTGAAATACACACATTATTTTAGGATTTTCCTGCTTTAAACAGATGTAAAGCGCTGCTGGTGTGTGTTTATGTGTGTGTGTGTGTGTGTATATGTGTGTGTGTGTGTGTGTGTGTGTGTGTGTGCGCAGGAGACTCAACTTGCCTGATTAACACAGCATCAGAGAAAAGAGGAGCAGAAGGTTAATCTGATCATGTGTGTGTGTGTGTGTGTCTACAGAAGAGTGTATGAGCTTCATCAGCAAACACACACGCACACACACCTTCACACGTTTATTTAAAGAAAAAATAAGAATATTTCAATAGGAAAAGTGATGCAAAAACAGGCCATTGAAATCAACGTCCACCTCTACATGACAGGTACGGGGGTGTGTGTGTGTGTGTGTGTGTGTGTGTGTGTGTGTGTGTGGTCAGAGCTGTCCGCAGTGGTGTATGGTGATGGTGTGTGTGGGTTTGCCCTCTTTGGTGCCCATCTCTGCCAGTCTCCTGAGCACCTGCATGCCATCGGTGACGAAGCCGAAGGCGACGTGTTTGTAGTCCAGGTGCTCCGCCTTGCGCAGCGTGAGGAAGAACTGCGAGCTGTTGGAGTCTCTGCCGCGATTGGCCATGGAGAGCAGCCCTGGACCCGTGTGCCGCACCTCGAAGCTCTCATCCTCAAACGCATGACCATAGATGGAGCGCCCGCCGGTGCCGTCCTGATGCGTGATGTCCCCACCCTGCACACACACACACACACAACCCATCAGAAACACACACACATAAAACTAAAGTGTGAGTGTGTGTGTGTGTGAGTGAGTGTGAGTGTGAGAGTGTGAGTGTGAGAGTGTGTGTGTGTGTGTGTGTGTGTGTGCGTGTGTGTGCTGACCTGACACATGAAGTCGGGGATGATCCTGTGGAATATGGACCCGCTGTAGCCGAAGCCCTTCTCCCCGGTGCACAGCGCACGGAAGTTCTCTGCAGTTTTGGGCACGATGTGTGCGAACAGCTCCATGACGATCCTGCCGGCGTCCTCTCCGTCCACACACACATCGAAGAACACGCGTGGGTTTGACTCTCGCGACAGCGTCTCCGCTAGCGACACCTGCGCACTGTCCGCCTGCGACACACACCGCTGACAGTCCTCAAACACACGGCGGAAGCTCTGCGCCAGATCTGCAGACTTAAACTTCACTGCCAGCTGCTCCACCTTCCCATCACCCTCTGGAGGACACACACACACACACACACACACACACACACACACACACACACACACACACACACACACACACACACACACACACACACACACACACACACACACACACACACACACACACACACACACACACACACACACACACACACACACACACACACACACACACGAGTGTGAGGAAACAATCTAGAGTAAGTGACTGTAGTGTGTGTGTGTGTGTGTGTGTGTGTGTACCGGCGTAGTCGGTGGCGGTCCAGACGAGAGCGTTGGCGCTGGAGTTCATGTGTGTGAGGGTGATGCCGCTGCTGATGGTATGGTTGGCGCACACCTTCAGCACCTGCTCTCTCCTCATCAGCAGCCTGTAGCTCTTCTTCTGCGGGTGGAACAGGATCTTCAGCTCGCCCACGCCGCGCTCCTTCCACTGCTGCAGATCTCGATCCCATCGGTACAGACGACACCGCTCCTTAAACAGGATCTCCTCATCCTCCTCGCCCGAACGCACCTCCACCTGCGGGAGACACACACACACACACACACACACACACACACACACACACACACACACACACACACACACACACACACACACACACACACACACACTCGTCATAACATAGGTCTCTGTGCTTGATGCATCTTCTTCTGTTCGCCTCCAGGTGCTCGTGACCGCTCTGGAGTTCAGCATAACAACATTTCAGCATGTGACAGCTGTCCATCACAGAGAGAACAGCAGTGCTCATCTGTACCTCTGGCAGAGAAACGATGGGCTCGAAGTGGATCTCGTCACTGTGGGGAGCTTCATCATCATCACCCTCATCATCATCATCTCTGTGTGTTTCAGCACGTGCTGCAGCTCCAAACACTGCTGCGCCCGCATTTGACCAGCTGAAGTTTTCATCTGCAGGAACACACACACACACACACACACACACACACACACACACACACACACACACACACACACACACACACACACACACACACACACACACACACACACACACACACACACACACACACACACACACACACACACACACGTCAACAGTGCTCCTGCTGAATCCTAAGATTGAATCTCAGCTCGTGGACGTTTCCCAAACCCAAACCCCTCCATCTCTACATCACTTCCTGTCATTCCACTGTGCCGTCTACATGCTCTTCTCCCGGTGGGGAACCCTCGGGTGCTCGAGAACCGCTGCGTTACACTCGAGACATCAGCAGCTGACCAGACAACAGCTTCCCTTTGAGGAGAGTAGGCCAATACACACAGCGCTGGCCATTCTGTCTGTAGCTGCTGTTCTCTCCACATACCTATGAAGAGCCCTTAGCAGTCAACAGAGCTAAAGGCAGCACTGTCTTAAGACAGAGGAGCTTCAACCCAACGCCATCTAGTGGTCCAAATGGGTGTTGAGAAAGAGCCTCCAGGACAGCTGACAAATCTCTCAACAGCACCATCCTCTGCTCCCTTTATGAAATGACTTAAAGGAGGCCGACTGGCAGGTTGATTAACGCTGATGTGAGAGGCAGGAATAGCTGCTGAATAGAGCAAGCCTTCCCTTATTAACTAACCCTGTACAACACAACAGCTCCCTCACTGAACACCGGAGAGAGACTGTAGGACTCTGTTCAGAGCATTTGTCCAAGACTCACTCATGACTGTAAAGTGTGCGAGTGGATGAGGGTCTAGTGCTCTGTGTAGTGTGTTTGACTGATGAAGGCAGCCCTGCGGCTCTCGGGTTCCACCATTCCCTGGTCAGGCCCAGAGCGGTGTCTGTGTGAGGATGATAAGGGCTGGCCTGACAGCAGATGATCTATCTCTGTAACCCAGGGCCTGGTCGGCCAGCACCGTCCTATCAGTGCCAGTCTGACTACAGTGGGGGAGATTAAGCTCAGAGGAGGGAATGCATGAAGGAGGACATCTGGCCAAGGCTGGGCTAGAGCATCCACACCCAACAGTGCATCGACTTCTTTTAGAGAAGCGAACTCTGGGAATTTTCCTGTGAGGTGAAGAGATCTACTGTACCCTGACTGTACCTCTCCCAGATCTGCCTCACCACTGAGGATACAGTTTCCATTCCTGATACAGGAGGTTTCCGCTGGTCAGTAAACCCTCTCCCCTGTTCAACAGCCCTGGAAGAGGAGTCTCTCTGATGGGCAACAGCCTTGCAAATGAAGGGAGCATGTGTCTACCTGTACTCTGACGTAAGCAACCACTGTGGTGTTGTATGCAGTGGTGTTGTATTTACTCTAGCTGATGAGGGTGCGGTAGTTGCCTGTGTGGTAAACAGAGTTCAAAGGTTTCATCTTCTTGTTTTTCTGAGGGTGCTAGTTTCCCACATCTTCTCTACTTAATGCTCTCTCACCTGACACAGCTCAGCCAGTCACCCCAACTACTGACAGTAAACTTAAAGCATTTAGCGGGAACACTGACTGCGCCTCTGATAGATGGATGCTGCAAGTGGTTCCATCTTGCCATCTAAAACAATCTAGAAGGCAGGAGTAGAGCGCAGATTCGGAAGCTAGGTTGAACAGGTCGTAACCTTTTCCCACTGTAAACGTCCCATTCAGCTCCCTCCGTCTATAGGGCCATGGGCCTCTTGCAGGATACCGTCTGTTGAAAGGCAGAGTCACCTGCACCAGAGAGTCTCGACTGTGGGACCAGGAAAGCAGAATGGTCTTCCTCATCCTCAGATGGAATTGACCCATCACTCAGTTCTTTGTCCTCTGCTAGTGGAATGACCCAGGATTGGGCCTCACATGTCAGATCTTACTCTCAGCTGTCATTTTCACTGTCACTGAGACACAGTTAGTGCATGTTCGTGGGTCTGCGAGTGACGTTGGTTGTTTCGGGCTCATACACGATGCACACGGCATCAGGGACACAACCTCGACATGGCTGAGTGTAAAGGTAATCAAAAGACTCATCACAACATGCCAGCCGGCTGCACTCAGACACAGGGCTGCATGAGCAGGACACACACGCAGAACACACACTATTATGCAGTCTCCAAGCGAGGCTGTTCTCACTGCTCAACACTGCGAATCAGGTAAACAGGCTCACCTTTCTTCCCGAACGCGAACTCTCCTGAGGTCTTGGCCAGATCTGCGAATGAGAATGGGCTTGCAGTTGCAGATCCAAAGAAGATACCTGCCGAAACACAAAAACACAACTCTAACACACACAGCTGACCCCTAGCATAGGCTGGCTGCTCTGAGCCGCCGCTCGACAGGTCAACGCATCGGTGAACACTGCACACACATTTACACAGACCACGAGTTTAAAGAAGAGATTGTGTAACTACTACACATGAACACGATAAGCATGCAGTGCCGGGTCAGTGCTGTACCTGAGGGCTCAGTGGTGGAGCTGGGGTCAGCGGGGGTCAATGATGTACCTGAGGGCTCAGCTGAAGAGCTGGGGTCAGCGGGGGTCAATGATGTACCTGAGGGGTCAGCTGAAGAGCTGGGGTCAGTGGGAGTCAGCACTGTACCTGAGGGGTCAGAAGGGGTTAGTGTTGTACCTGAATGGTCAGCAAAGGAGCTGGAAGAACAATGCTGTACCTGAGGGATCAGCGGGGGTCAGATGTGCGGTGTCTGCACTGAAGCTGCTCTCACTGCTCCTCTTAGTAGACAGGTCAATCGGAGAGCTGCGGTCAGTCTTCTGGAGCTCCATGGTGCTACTGCTGGCCACTGATGCATCATGGGATGGATCCAGCCTGACCTGCTGACACAAACACACAGATGAGCAAGAGAAGCAGCAGCAGGGTCAGTGTGGTGAACGAGCAGCTCTCACCTGCGTTTGTGTCAGTGTGTCCGCCTGTGTGTGTGTGCTGCTGTCCTCTGCCCGCTCGGGCTCCAGGTCCGAGTCACTGCTGACGCCGCACAGGAATGTAGGAGGGAGGAGGAGACGCCTGGCCCTCTGCTCCTCATCTGCAGATGCTCGCTTCTCCCATACCAGCACACACTCTGCAGGAGCACAGAGAGAGACACACAGACGAAAACACATGATCACTCTCACAGATGCTCACAGGAAAGGTCAAGGTCTTGAAGATATTAACAGATATTAATTAGCAAAAATTAAAAAGTCTGTTCTAGTGTCAATGCCCTGCAGCAGAGGTGTGTTACCGTGATCATCTTCATACAGCTGTCCCTGAAGACTCCTCACAGCGCTCTCGAAATCTTCATCTGCGGGACGAGCAGAGAGAAACACTGATGAGTTCAGCATGCTTTAGTCACTTGCTGAGCTGCAACACACACAGCAGATATTACCGTCCTCCTCCTCCTCGCTGGTGTATCCGGGACGGTTCTTATAGCAGAAGAAGGTGTGCGGCAGAAGCAGTGAGGCCGCCAGATCTGCCTGTTCTCTTGTTGGCTGGCGCTCGAAGATCACCTCCAGATCATCATCATCATCATCATCATTATACAAGTCCTGCACGCTCTTCTGCTTCAGTGAAGGACAGGCTGAACACACACACACACACAAACACACACACACACACACACACAAACACACACACACACACACACAAACACACACACACAAAGAGCAAGTCTGTGTGAGGCAGGCAGTGGAAACCTAACACAAACACTGAACCACACTTAAACTACGGACGCACCGAAAAGACAATCCAGGGCCTTTAACTGGTCTAAAGTTAATTACACTGATTTGACAAACACAAGTCTATAAAAGAACCACGTTTTATCGACAGTGGGATAAAATCAGACCGTGAATCTACTTAAACCAGGGGTGTCCAAACTCAGTCCTGGAGGGCCAATGTCCTGCTGAGTTTAGCTCCAACTTGCTTCAACACACCTGCCCAGGTGTTTCTAGTATATCTAGTAAAAGCTTGATTGACTGCTTCAGGTGTGTTTGATTAGGGTTAGAGCTAATCTCTCCAGGACACCGGCCCTCCAGGACTGAGTGTGGACACCCCTGACTTAGACGGAACCCAGTGGTACAGGAGTGAAGAACAGGACAGCCACAGATCTCCACCGTACACTCAGATCAGTTCATCCTTTCTCTGCTGTGCTGCTCTTTAATCTGTTTATAATAGTGAAACCCTCCCCAAACCCAATCTGCAGGGGAAATGTGAGATGTGCAAAATCTACACCAATGATGCGGATGAGCAGGTTTAGTTGATGGAGTCTCTGCACAACATGCAGATCAACAACACACTGTTAGATGTTAGAGGACTGAACACACATCCACAAGCCCACACTCACACACAGAGTTTAGAGCCGTGTCCACTGCATAGGTGCACTACTGAGAGCGGAAGCACACCTTTAGTGTAATGAACTCTCTGCTCCTCGAGGCCAGTGGTGAAGTCAGAAAGACTATACGGAGGGGTGTTTGCGCAGCTCTAACTCATACAGCTGTGTGTTACCCTTTACAGTCTGATCCCTGTAGTACTAATAGGAGAAATACTGCAGCGCTATTTATGCATCTGTATTCCTGTATTTTGTAAATCCCCATGTGGGTCGTAATTGTTTCTCTGGGGTGCGTAAGAGATGTTCAGCATCTACAGGGGTGATTTGGTGATTTTAAAGCGGTTTAAATGCAGAATGTCTGTTCTCTCATCGCCTACAAAATAAATCACTGGCCAAATTACCTTCTGTTTTTCTGGACACACACTGATGTTGTGTGGTGATTTAATTGCCAGGTGAGTCTCGCAGTACGGTTGCACTTTGCAGCAATTTGCATTAAGAAAAAGTGGTGCAAAAATCATGTGCATTGAAAATTACACTACCGAAGAGCTAGAAAGTACAGATTACTGACCGTTATCTGAGCTTCCACAAAACCCTTTCATTTACTAAAAGAGATTTTTATGCTTGACTGATGTGATAATCGGGCTTAGTGAAAAAAGTTAAGGCAAACTCGCTCGCCTTGTTTACTGTTGGCTGCTAGGTCACTATAACACTGATGGAAACGCACCTAATTCACATTTGGGATTTTCAGGTTTCATTTCCCGCTTTCGGGACTACAATCCACACAACATTATCTTCAAACAAAAATGCTGAAGAGATTTTTCCTTTACAGACGCCTCATGAGAAAAAACTGGCATCTGAACAGGGCTAAAGGTGGTTAAGAGTAAGCACAAACACTGAAATCTTAGATATTAGATCTCATCTGCGGGCTAAAACAGCTCTATTCATCACAGAAAACCACAACGGAAGACTCAATCCAGGAAAACTGCAACAACACAGACCAAAAGACAGCTCAGAGTTCACCTGCAGCAGACAGGAGACCCTCACTGCTGAAACCCACTGGAGTCTCACACACACGGCTCATTGTTATTCATGCAGACGTCTGGACTGGGCCAGAGAAACACTAAGGTTAACACTCAGACCCGCTCATGCTAAACACCTCCAGCTTTACCACAAATACCTTGGGCTTCAAACTGGGCATCTGATGTGCAGGTCCAAAATGCCATAGGATTATCTTTGAAAAGCCTAAAATCCAAACCTAAAGAAAGACTTGGGTTTATGTTCTTGAAGATCTTGCATTTATCTCAGGAACTGAGCCAAAGGTGAAACCATACAACAGATGGGAAGATGAGGATAGTTCTTTTCCTTTTGGCAAAAACACATAAACAAACTCTGCCACTTTTAGAGTGAACTTGATTAGAGTTATCTATAACTAAAACAGCATGATCGTGGCCCTTTGGCAGAATGGGTGGACACCCCTGATCTAAACCAAGAGATTTGAGTAATGGGTTATAGAATACGACTTACTTTTGGTTGGTAAGCTGAAAGGAGTGCCAGCCTGGCTGGAGGTCACTGCAGAGGTCTTCAGTCTGGATTCTCCACTGTCCTCATCTGCTGTCCGGACAGGAGAAACCGCAGAATTCTCTTTTGGGCTGCCAAAGATCTTCTGCACAGAGTCTGAGCCAAACACAAACTTGGGTGGAGAGACCACAGTCTTGCTGACCGGAGTGGAAAACTCTGCTGGGGGCGTCCGCTCAGGTTTTGGACTGCTATGCTCTGGAAGTCCGGAAGGCTCTTTAGTGGTCTCCTCCAGCACAGCCACAGCCGCCTGGCCGCAGATCGACTCTTGGATGAAGGACGCTTCTCGGGCAGATCGTGGGTTCAGCAGAGTGTCTCTGTCCAGTGCAGTCTTGGCCTCTTCAAAGACGTCTCTGAAAATGCTGGCAGTGTCCTGCAGTTTGAAGCGCACCGCCAGCTGCTCCACTTTACCCTGCCCTTCAGCAAAGTCAAAGGCACTCCAGATCCAGGCCTTCTCCGCGCCCTTCATGGGCTCCAGCTTCATGCTTGAGTCGATCCAGTGATTTGCACACAGTTTGAGCACCTGGTCTCGTCTCATCACAAGCCTGACGCGCTTTGTTTCGTAGTGTTGAAGTATTTTAAGGTCTCCTATACCTCTCTCCTTCCACTGACTAAGAGTTTTGTCGTATCGGTATAATTTGGCACGGTGACTAAACAGCACCTGCTCGTCCTCCTCTCCGGTCGAGACCTCGACCAGGTCAGGCATGGGTACCACCGGCTCGAAGTACTGTCCATCCCGCTCCTCCTCCTGAGAGGTGTCCTGCTCGTCATCTGTGCCCACTGATGCCTGACTCTGGTTCAGCTTACACGGAGACTTGGAGGGGCTGAGAATAGGCTGAAAGCTGAAACTGAAGCCTGTGGTCGATTCGCCAAAGCGGAATAAACTCTTAGCGACTGTGTCCGGCTGCACAGAAGCATCACTTGCTGAGGGTTTAGTGTAGCTTTTCAGCGCTCCCTCCCGCAGATCATAATTATCCCATTCTAATGCAGTGCTGGTAGTCTCCGAGTCCAGCTTGACGATAACTGAAGAGGTGCTGTCCGCCGTAACACTACTCTCTTCCTCCTTGCTCTGGGGAGTCAAGAATGATTTGAGGTCCTTGAGACCAGATTTCATTTCTTCAGCTTTCTGTATAAGGTGAGCCGTCCTGCCAGTGTTGACCAGCTTGTGAGGCGTCTGTAAAGGAATATCCAAAAGCAGCCGCTGACACTCCTCAAACCTTTGCTTAAACTCTTCAGCAAGCTCCGGCGTCTTGAATTTTGCAGCAAGTTGCTCTAATCTTGCATCTCCATCTGAAAAATCGCTGGCCAACCACATCCAGGCCCGATCGGATCCTGCAAGTGGCTTCAGGTTCATGGTGGTGGTGATCCAGTGGTTGGCGCACACCTTCAGCACCTGCTCTCTCCGCATGAGCACTCGCAGTTTCCCATTCTGGTTGTTTTTCAGCAGTTTAAGGTTGCCAACTCCTCTCTCTTTCCACTGACTCGTCTCTGGATCAAATCTGAAGAGTTTGACCCGTTGCGAATACAGGATTTTCTCATCTTCTTCCCCTGTGACCAGATCAACCTTATCCGGCATCTGAACGACAGGTTCAAACTGAATATCATCATTCTCCTCTGTTCTGTACATTTCGTCCTCTTGATCGGCGGAGGTATCTGGTTTAGGAAGCACTGTGAAGAGCTGCTGGCCGGCCCCTGCAAAGCCTCTGAAAGAGGGATCCTGCTGGCCGAACTGAAAACCTTCCTTAGAGGACTTGGCCAGGTCTGCAAAGCTGAAGGTGTCGGCCTTTCCGCTAATGAGAGGATTATCATCATGAGCGCTGGTGTCTGCAGAATCATCTGAGGAACTCTGGATGGCTTCTTTCTCCTTCTCTTTGTGAAGTTCTGCAATATTTTTGAGGAGGTCAGATGCGGAGCTAGTTTGTGGCTGTGTGTCGGATGCCTTCGTCTGAGGTTCAGTAATGCCAAACTTAAATCCTTCACCAGGTGCTGGCATTGAGAATGAGAAATTAGAGCTGCTTGATGATTTATCAGCTTGAGTGGAGGAGGACGCAAACTTAAAGCCCTCTGAAGAGGATTTTTCTGTACTTGTGCCAAACTGAAATGCAGGGCCTGCAGTGAAGCTGCTCTTAAAGCCGGTGGCGGCAGGCTGGCTGCTAGAACTGCCAAAACTGAAGCTGAAAGTGGAGCTGGACGGTGCTGATGAGGTCTTGCTCTTCATGTTGGGGTTCGCCGTCTGACATGAAACACAGTGGCTAGATTCGCCTTCATTTCTCACCAGGCAGGCGTCACAGTCCCACTGCCCAGCTTTCTTTCCAAACATAGCTGCTAACCCAGTCTTCGGTGTGCTGCAGGGGGTATTGCAGGAAACACATTCAGTGGCGGACGCATCGTTCCTCACCAAGCAGCAGTCACAGTCCCATTGACCATCTTTCTTGGCAAACTGAGAACCGAACCCAGGGGTCAAGGAGAATGCTGGTGTCGGGGAAACTTTGGTGTTTTGCTTAGTATCTGCAGGTATGCTCTTCTTATCAGTCTGAGAGGCAAAGCCAAGTGGGGTCACTGCGGCATTACTTGACCCAAAACTAAAAGAAGCTGGTATTTGAGATCCAAATGCTGAGCCTTTTGTGCTGCCATCTGTGAAGGAAGTGCTTTTGGCAGAATCTGCAGGAAGTCCAAAAGAGAAGACTTTGGCAGGGGGAGCCAGCGACACGGAGCTCTTGATTTGCTCCGCAGGTTTGCCTTTAGCTGAAGGTGCCGGGCTGCTGCAGGCCACACACGCTACAGAGGCAGGAGAGTTCCGGACACAGCACGTCTCGCAGTCCCATTCACCATCCTTCTTGGAAAACCGGATCTTAAGTTCTGACTCTTTAGATGCAACCAGAGGCTTCGGCAATGCTGAGCTCTTGATTTGCTCCGCAGGTTTGCCTTTAGCTGAAGGTGCCGGGCTGCCGCAGGCTACACACACTGCAGATGCAGGAGCGTTCCGGACACAGCACGTCTCGCAGTCCCATTCACCTTCCTTCTTGGAAAACCGGATCTTAAGATCTGACTCTTTAGATGCAATCGGAGGCTTTAGCAATTCACTTGTCTTTTCCAGCAGTGGGCCTTGTGCAGAAATAAATTTCTGAGCCTCCTCAAATTTCACTTTAAACAGTGCTGCATCATCTGCCGTTTTAAAGCGAATGGCCAACTGCTCGGTCTTTGGCATTTCATCTGCATAATCCATGGCGTACCACACCCAGGACTTGTCGGACCCAGCATTGGGTTTTAGGGCCATGTCTGCAGTGATATAGTGATTAGCGCAGATTTTGAGGACCTGCTCCCTCCTCATCAGCAGGCGAACTTTCCCAGATGTTTTGTGCTTCAGGATCTTGATGCTGCCTATCCCTCTCTCCTTCCACTCTTTAGTGTCTGCGTCGAACCGGAACAGCTTTGCTCTCTTGCAGAACATTTCCTCTTCCTCCTCTTCGCCGGTTTTCACATCCACCTTGTCAGGCAGAGGCACGATGGGCTCGAAGTGAGGGCCGTCCTCGTCCTCCTCCACATGTGTGCTGTCGTTATCACTGTCTCCGCTTTTCTCCTCAGCAGCGCCCAGCACTGGTTTGGCTCCACTTGTAAAGCTAAATGGGTCAGTGTTGCCAAAAATATTCATTTTGCTCTGAGAACCATCAGTGAATGAAAATCCTGTGGCGTTTTTACTCCCAAAGGTGAAGACTCCGGTCTGCTCATGGCTCTGCTTTGGCTCTGACGGTCCATCTGTTTTGGGAGGAATATCTGAGGTCAGCAGGCCCAGCAGGCTCTCGCTGTTTTTCCTCTGGGAGGAGGAGAATGTGAAGTCGCCATCATTGGACTTGAAATTGGAGTTGAACTTGAACGCAGTCGAGGTTGTAGTGGTGGATGTTGATGGAGCCACAATGACGCCCCCAAAGTGTGGAACCTTGGAGACTTCAGGAGTGAACTGCGGCCCGAGGCTGGTCCGGGCCTCCGTCTTGCTCTCGCTGCTCCTAGACGGCTGCATAGACGCTGCAGCGTTGGGCTTGGTGAAGTATCCTGGCTCAGGTAATGTAGGATTGACGGTAGGCTGAGGAACGCTGTGGGCGTAATACTCTTCGCTGTACGGGGACAGTAGAGACGTGGCTGGAGACTCAAAGCGAATGGGCGCACCGAACACCTGCTCCTGAGGGTACATGCAGGCCGGTGTGGACTGCAGCGGCGGAGTATGTGTTTGCTGCTGGTAGCTGTACATGTGTTGCTGTGGAGGAAGACGGTTCATCCCGTACACCGGACCCTGCGGAGGAACACAAACAATCACTGTGAGTCCTCAGATCCTTTTCCTAATTACAATAAACAACCCTCTACACTGGTAATCAATCAATCACGTATGTAAACATGCTGGGCCTACTGGAAGTGTATTGATAGCCGATAAATAATAATTGGTTAGACAGAAAGTGTCGAGTCTTTTAAGAAGTCAGTAGCTGGCCTGCAGTGAACGGTCATTCCTGTTTATATAAAGTGTTACTGGAGGCTGAGCACAAGTCTTACAAATAAATCATATACGGGTTTATGCTTTCATGAACACATGTTTCCTTCAGGAGCGCCGGGAACAACACTCTAAAGTTTTACATTTCCATTGGCTAGAGTTGATGTATTAATCATCCGCATCCTGATCAGACTGAGTGAACGCAGGCAGTGCGATTAATATTTAGGAGAACAGCAGATGATCTGAAGTAGTGACCTGAAGTAGTGGTCACAGGCGTGTAGAGGGTTGCACACAGCTGTAAACGCTGCATTACCTTTGTGGGAGTGACGTTTGCAGCAGGGCGAAGAAGATACTGAGAGTTATACGCCGGAGACTGGCTGTAGTACCCAGAGGGACCTGTGGTAGAGACTGAGAGAAAAGGGGGAAGAGAATGAGTTCCTTCAGTCTGGTGTTCATGCAAAAGCGTGAGTTTGAATAAGCACAGCTCACAGTGTGTGTGTGTGTGTGTGTGTGTGTGTGTGTGTGTGTGAATACTGAAACTGAGCAGATCTGAGACTCAGGGTGTATGCAGGACTGACCGGTTAGAGGAACGCCGTGGAAGGTCTGTGCCGCAGGAAACCCCTCTGTGTTCTCTGGATATATGCGGTATGAGGAGCCGGTGCTGTCGGCGGGGTTCTGCCGCAGGTCATGAACCTCATTCTGCAGCAGAAAAACACGAGATATTACAGACATTACATATATCATTATCACAGCTGCACTCACTCACTCACTCACTCACTCACTCACTCACTCACTCACTCACTCACTCACTCACTCACTCACTCACTCACTCACTCACTCACTCACTCACTCACTCACGCAGTATTCAGCTCAGCCACTGCATCTGATTTATGCCATTTGAACAGCATTATTTAATGAACTCTCGAAACTCGGAGAGTAACTGTTATCATTATTATTATCATTATTGCTGTGAGATAAACTGTGAGCATCTGTTATTAGGGAGAAATTCTCAATCAATGTTTTTTTTTTATTCTGTGGGAAAAACGAGCCTCTGCATCATTACTAGCACTGCAGAACTCTGTAGTGTGTGTGTGTGTCTGTTAGTGGGTATGAGTTCATATGAGTATGTGTGTGTGTGTGTGTGTGTGTTCTAGAAGCAGCAGTACTCAGGTGAGCTGTACACTGACCTTCAGGGCCTCCACCTGCTGGCACAGCATCTGCAGCAGAGACTTCTGGTCCTCGGCCCAGTGCGGAGGCGTCTTGGGGGAGAACTGCAGACACAGGGGAGTGTGAGTAACCCAGCAGAACAATAACCCAGCAGATTAACCCAGCCCAGACTCACGGTGGGTCTCCTGGCGGGCGATGCGGAGCTCTTGGCTGGGGAGGGAGTGCCGAGTGCGTGCTGGGCTTCAGCGGGCCGGCCAGGGCTGGAGGTGCGGGGGAACTCCACCTGCTGCGGCTCCACCTGCTGCTCCACTCCATCCTCCTCCAGCTGCTGAGACACCTCCTTCAGCAGATCCAGCACCTCCTCCATTCCCACCGGCAGCTGCAGTACAACACACACACACACACTCGGTTCAGAGGTCAGCTCACACACACAACTAAGAGGTCAGCTGTGTGTGTGTGTGTGTGTGTGTGTGTGTGTGTGTGTGTTTGTGTGTGTGTGTGTGTACCCTCTCCATGTCCTCTGTGCTGGCCTGGCAAATCTTCATCAGGTATTTCTGGAACTGCAGCAGGAAGTTGGTGCAGCGGCCCTGTGTTTCTTCCAAGCCGTTTCCTGCTTCCTCCACCAGCCGCTGGTAGATCTGCACACACACAAACAGCACCATCATCATCATCATCAGTAGAAACACACTGATGTAACAGTTGAACAAAACACAGAATGTTGTGTGTGTGTGTGTGTGTGTGTGTGTGTGTGTGTGTGTGTGTTTGAGGGGGCAGAGCCGGTCAGACACAGGTAAGCTCACCTTGGCCAGCTGCCAGTCAGAGCCCACAGTGTTGATCTGCTCCAGCTGAGCGATGGCCTCCTCTGTGCTACCCTCAATGTCCAGCAGGACGGCAGCGCTGAGACTGACCTCCTGCTGCAGCGCACACACCTCAGCAGCCTGAAGAACACACACACAGCATTGGAGACAGTGTGTGAGCAGCTGCTGTGTGAGCAGTGCTTCTTATATGTGTGAAGGACCCGTACGGCTTCACTCTTACTTCTCTTCGAGTGAGAATGAAGTCGACCGCAGCCACACCAGACCATAGCAGAGACACAAGTCTGATAAAGGGGATCCGCACCGAACCGCTCAATGGAGAAGAGGCATTACAGCCAGTTTCCACTGAGAGGTAGAGTGCGGGTCACCTTTATCAGGCTTGCGTTTCCACTGCCAAAAGGGTACTCTTATAGTGTGTGTGGTGTACGACAAAGTTTCAGACGATTTTTTTTACCAGAGGAATGATCACGAGCAGGTTATTAATATGAGCTCAAGAATTTCCTTATTTCTAACACAGACGTGCAGCGAGCTCTCTGAGGAACGTGAAGCCGCTCACACTTTTAGAAGAGCCTGTGAACAACAACAGGACACGGCAGATTCTGCTCTTGGCTTTGTGGCTGTTCATCAAGACGACGACAAGGATTGTCTGATCTCAGGTCGACCGTGGCTTGTTATTATATGTATATATTATTATGCTGTAATGTCTCTGCTGTGTATTTAAAAATGCCGCTTCCTTTGTTTTCATTCTCCTGCTTCAGCGAGTGAATATTCTCTGTAAACCAATAGCGTTCAGCTGTGCTTCAAGCTCCGCCTTTTGGTACTCTTTGTGTCATGCCAGTACCCTTTGCAATGGGTGACCAAAAAATGGTATGGTACAGTTCGCTTTTGGATACCTTTTAACAGTGGAAACGGCCATATAAGTGCACCGAATCGTCCCTTACCACTCAATGGAAACGGGTCATAAGAATCAATCTCACACACACACACACACACACACACACACACACACACACACACACACACACACACACACACACACCTGTATGTCTCTGCTCCTGAAGTGTGGGAACAGCGGCTCCAGAGGCTCTGGGATGCTGCGCTTGTTGCAGATTTTCTCCAGCAGGGGGAGCAGCAGCTTCCAGTAGTGCACACTGCGGCCCGCATAATCCCTCTGCTCATAGTAGGAGTTAGTGCGCTCGCCCTGATGAACACACACACACACACACACACACACAGCTGATGGAGAGCGACTGGGATGGACAATATGGACTTACAACTTACAACCACATCATTTTCTGGTCCTCCTTCTGATCTTAATTACTGATATAAATTCATATTCACTGAGATGAAACAGTGACCTGTACCTCCAGAGAAAAACACTTGTACATATTTATAATGGTAAAAGAAAAGTGTTGAACCCTTCTTGCATAACCAAACACACCGCAGCAGATGACCAAGCTCAAACACAGCAGATGTGGTCAGGAATACACTACAATAAGAGTTCCAGACCTCAGTGAACCCTGCAATACTATCATTTCTCTCTCATTCATACAGGACACTAGAGGGCGCCGTCACGCATACCCTCCACATGTAGATTACTGCAGAACAGACATCAGCCTCACTGCAGGACAGCACAGAGGACGGACCACATAAACAGATCAAACATGCAGACAACACACACACTTGTGGCGTTAATATCAGAGTTATTATCAGACGTACCGCTGCAGCCAGATGCCGAGCCCAGTGGACGAGCAGTGCCGGCTGGAGCCCGTGCTTCTCTGCGCCTCGTAACATTCCTAGCCCATGCTGAACTACCATTCGCAGCTTAGCAGAGGAGCCCGGCCTGCGGGAACACACACAGCAGAGTCAATACACACACACAACACACTGGCACACACATACACACTCTCTAGCCTGCGGCCGTACTCACTGCGCCCTCTTGTGGATGAGGTTGTATACGGCGTCCCACCATTCCCTCTGCCTGGCGGTGGACAGCAGCTTCATCAGCGGAAGCGGCAGACAGCGGGGCGCAGACGACACACACTCACACTCCTGCAGCTGCGCCTCACAGGTGAACACCACACCGCTTACAAACACCTGCGCACACACACACACACACACACAGTAGAAGTTATGTCTAAGTTAGACTCTGCCAGATGTGCTCAGTGGAGACATCATGACTGTAAAGGATGATCATGCTGAAGTGACCCCTGATGGAGACACTGCTGGATGAGAAGCTGAGCTGAGCGTTTCTGTCATGTGCTCTGTCTGTGTACTGCTGGACAGGTAGAGCAGTGTTAGCTGTATTTGACACACCTCTAAGTCCAGCAGGCAGAGGGACTCGGGGGCGCTGGTGTCCAGTTTGGAGGTCTCCAGAGGCAGGCGCGGGAACAGGAGCTTCAACCACTGCTGCAGGTCAACAGTCTGCTCCATCAGCCTCCACTGCAGAGCCAACCATACCAGCTGCTGGAGGTCCCCTGCACACTGCTGCACACACCCTGAGGAGAGAGAGAGAGTGAACACACACACACACACACACACACACACACACACTCTCCAGCTCAGCATTCAACACAATAATCCCACATCAGCTCACTGATAAGCTCAACCTGCTGGGCCTTAAAGCCTCCTTCTGCAACTGGATCCCAGACTTTACAACTGGAGACCTCAGTCAGTGCGCGAGGCCACCACACCTAAAGCAGTCCCTCACGGAGCTCAGGTGTACAACAGGTGTACCGCAGGGCTGTGTGCTCGGCCCGCTGCTCTCCACACCGCTGCTGACCCACCACTGCACTGACGGGTTCAGCTCAGACCAGCATCAGGTGTGCTGACGACACAGTGGAAGGTCTCATTAGCAACATTGGTGAAACGCTTTAAAGAGAGCAACTACAGAGTGACACTAACAACTGCTCAGTGTGGGAAAGACAGAGGAGGCTGCGATGGACGTCAGGAGGAGCTCTATCAACCCACTGAGCCTCGAGTGGAAGAGTCAGCAGCACTATGCTCACGGAGCTCCACATCTCAGAGCATCTCCAACACCATCTTGCTCCAAAATGGCACAACAACACTTGCACTTTCACAACCAGCTGAAAAGTGTTTCCCTCCACCCGTCCCCACCACTTTCTACAGAGCAAACCTTGAGAGTGTGCTGACCCGCTGCATCACCGTCTGGTGCAGGAACTGTTCCCTTCACAGTGCCCCAGCAAATCCAAGTGCAAACCTAAAAGGTCTTTGGTGACAGGTCAGACCTGCTAAGACATTGAGGAGCCTCACCCTGGAGTCAGGCCTGGGGTTGGGGCTTGTATGAGAGCACCTGGTGGCCAGGTTTTCTCTAACAAAACCTGCCTTGGCTCAGCCTGAAGGAGTGATGAGGGATCATCTTACTGTAAGGATTGTGAAACAGGCAGTGTTCAAACGTCAGGACCATTACAACCTGATTATCAGGCACAGGAACGGGCTCTTGGGGCATGAAATGTCACCTCACTTGAAGGTAAGAAGCCCAAGCTAGTGCAGGAGGTTGAACGGTAATGACTAGAGATAGTCGAGCCCACCTCCACACACAGCTTGGGCTCGGGAACTAAACTTCTTGAGAAGGGCTGGAATTCTGTGGAGTTGCCCACGATGAGAGGCGCTGGGATGGTGAGGGCTTGCTTTCAGCTTTCCCACTTTGTCACCATGTGTTAGAGTTTGCCCCAGTGAAGAAGAGGGTCGCCTCCCTGTGCCTTTGGGTCAGGGATAGGTCTCTCTCTGTAGTTTGTGCCTATAGGCCGAACACCAGTGCAGAGTGCCCAGCCTTCTTGAAGTCCTTGGGAGGAGTGCTGGAAGGTGCTCAGACAGCAGTTCCAGAAAGACACTGTTTACAGCAGAAGTGGGGAGCTGTCGACCTCGACTGCAGATGTTGTTGGACGGTGGAAGGAATACTGTGCGGATCTCCTCAATATCACAGCAGAAGCAGAGACTGGGTGGAAGGATGGATTCACACATTACCCAAGCTGAGGTCACTGGGGTAGTCTGCAAGCTCCGCAGTGGCAAAGCGACAGGTGGATGACATGCAACCTGTGCATCTCAAGTCTCTGGATATTGTGGGGCTGTCTTGGCTGACACGGCTCTACAATATCACACAAAGGTTGGGGACAGTACCTCTGAACTGGGCATCTGTGGTGGTAGTTCTTATTTTAAAAAGAGGGACGGGCGGGTGAATTCCAACTATAGGGGGATCACACTCCACAGCCTTCACCAAGGGAAGAGTGGACCATGAGTCTGACAGGCGGGTCAGTGCAGTGGCAGCAGTAATGCCGTGTATGTACCGCTCCGTTGTGGTAAAGAAAGAACTGTGCTGGAAGGCAAAGCTCCTGGTTTACCAACACCTTCTACATTCCTACTCTCACTCCTGCCCTCGCGACCGGCCCGGATAAGCAGAAGAAAATTATGAAGGAATGTTCTGATGTAAAAGTCCCTCTATACTCCGCCTTGGCTAATGTGTATAGTTTAGTATTTATAGTACATGTATAGTTAGTAGAGTTAGATCAGCGCTCGGGTATGTTCGTTATGTGCAGGTTAAAATAGCTCTTGTGTCCAGGGTTGTGTTCATACTTATGATTGTTTATTTAAGTAGCACCGTGGTGTATATATAACGATATAGCTCAACTTGACTGACAGACACACACTCACACTAACTCACGCTCGCACAGACACAGCGACACACACACACTCTGCTGTCGTACCTCTGTCCACCTGGGCCAGGTGCTGTGCGCTGGGCGGGTGTGGGCTGGTGATGTGTGTGTGGTCGCTGCAGAGGAAGGTGTGCTGGTGGTCTGCGGTGTTGAAGAGTGTGTCCAGCAGCCGGACGGGGACGCTGCGGTTCCCGAAATTCTCCAACAGGTTTTCCAGCAGCTGCTCCGGCTCCGCATGCAGGTTCAGCAGCATGTGTCCCGCATGACTCTGACGCTCACAGCACAGCAGCTGCAGGGGCCCCGGGGCCGCATCACCCTGCAGGAGCCGCCCTCTGGGTCTGGGGGCCTGCGGAGAACAGCACATCAGGAGGAGCTGAGTGAGTGAGTGTGTGTGTGTGTGTGTGTGTGTGTGTGTGTGTGTGTGAGAGAGAGAAAGATCAAGAGAGAGTGTGAGTCTGTGTGTCAGTGAGTGTGAGAGAGTGTGTGTGTCTATCTGTATGTATGCATGCATGTGAGATCAAGTGTGTGTGCATGCATGTCTATATATATATATATATATATATATATGAGTGTTTGTGTGCACACAAGTTTCTGTGTATATACCGGCGTGCGTGCGTGTGTGTGTGTGCGCGCACCTGATATGCCACCAGGTAACACAGTGCAGCCAGATCCTGCACCGCTCTCCACTGCAGCTCCCTCTGCTCAGCCCTCTTCAGCAGCAGTGTGCCGGCGCTCAGGTACAGCTGCGCACGCATCT